ATGGAGGTGAAGCGAGGTGCATATCTTGGATGGATTCATCATCTTTCATCCTGAAGTGCTTGTATTCAATTGTGAGCATGTCAATCTTGGATTGCGTAACCTGTGTTGTTCCTTCGTGAGCTATCTGTAGAGCCTCCCAAATTTTTTTTGTTGATTGACATGTCGATATCCTATTATATTCATCAGAACCAATGCCATAAATAAGAATTTTCTTTGCACGAAAGTTCTTTTTTATGGCCTTTTGATCAGCGTCATTGAATTCCTTCCTCATCATGGGAATGGCTACAGCTAGGTCACCAAGATTCTTGGTGGGGACAAAGGGTCCGTCACATATGACATCTCATAGCTCAGAATCTTCATCCATGATGAAGTCGTGCATCCTAATTTTCCACCATCCATAATACTGTCCATTGAACCTAGGTGATCTGTAAGTAGACCGGCCTTCATCGATGTTTGGAGGAGCAGCCATGAGGATCTTTTCTAGGTGTTAACCTGATAGAAAGAATCTGCTCTGATACCAATTGGTAGAATATAAGGGCCCACCAAACTCTATAGAGAACCAGGTTCTCTATCAGTTCCACTAGAACACACGCACACTGCAGTAAGTAGATGACAAGAGGATTTTTACTTGAAAAATTTTCAGTTCAACGGGATTAAAAATTACGACCTACCCTTGTAGGATTTCAACTTTACTACTGAGCAACTTTTAGATTACAACCTCTGCAACCTAGAAATTAATCTCTTAATCCTTCACTCATTTGTAATACTCTATTACAAGCCACTTTGTAATAACTCTATTACAAAGACTGTACAACTCGACTAACTCTAGCCAAGACTCAAACACAAAGGATTAAGGTTTACAAAGGGTTTCTTACAGAATAGTTCTAAACAAGCTAAGTAGGAATTGCAATTGAAGAACTATTACAAAGTTACAACTCAACTAAGGACATACAATGACTTGCTGTGGTGAACTGGTCCGTAGTAGTGTTGTTCTTTGTTCTTGATGCACTTGAGAATTGATTGCTTGATGATCAATGACCGTGTGAGAGCTTCGATGATTTCTCTAAGTGAATAAGTGATTTGTTTTACCTTCCTTGATGTTAAATATGCATTTGTGACATCACTAGGATGATGTAAGCAAGGTAGGTAAAAGACACTCCCCATAAAGTTGACTGCTATACTGTTTCTGCACTGTAACGTGTGTAGGCAATAACGTTACAGCTGGGGCAGTTGACTTGTACAGTTTTCTCGGGAAGCGATAGTTATATGTTCCTTCTGTTATTCCGCTGACTCTGAAGAGTCGAAGCATATTCCAAACTGGAACCTTTCGATCTTAAGGTCTTAAGGAAATGTAACCGGTTCCTTATCTGGTTCTTGACAGTAAGTTTGTTAGATCATCAAAACATAAAATAAGGTACTTGTAACCTATCAGATGTGTCTGATAGAAAGGCAGAAAAATATTTACCAAGAAATAAGTCTTTTCTAGCAATCAATAAACGAGTAACTAAATATCAAAAGATATAGAAAAAAATTGCATTAAAAGGGAAAGAAATGAATTTCTCAGCTTATATTTTCTTTTAGTAGTCCATTTAAAATATTATTTAAATTTTAATCTACTCTCTAGCTACTCTACATTCATTCTTTTTTTTGGGGTTGGG